CTGTGCTGATGAGCTCTGCATGGTCACCTGTGCTCTCCACGCTGGGCAAACAGGAAATGAAATTCAAAAGTTCGCAAGGCTTTTCCTGTCTACCTGGTCAATGCATCTGAGTTGAAAGTGCTGTCCAGAGTGGTCACAATGAAGCACTGTGGGATAGCTCCCGGAGGCCAATAACGTCGAATTCCATCCACACTACCCCAAATCCGACCCGCAAAGGCCGATTTCAGCGCTAATCCCCTTGTTGGAGGTGGAATAAAGAAACCCGTTTAAAGGGCCCTTTAAGTCGAAAAAAAGGGCTTTGTCGTGTGGACGTGTCCAGGCTTAATTCGATTTAACTCTGCTAAATTTGACCTAAACTTGTAGTGTAGATCAGGCCTTAGATAAGCAATGTTTTCAGATTCTGATGAAATACGTACTTAAGGAACTGGCTGAAGAGATCTTTGTGTCACTAGTGATTATCTCTGAGAACTTGTGGAGGATGGGAGAGATTCCAGAGGACTGGAAAAGGGCAAATATAGCACCTATCTATAAAAACAAGAATAAGGACAACCCAGGGAATTATAGACCAGTTAGTTTAACTTATCTGGAAAGATAATGGAGCAAATATTTGAACAATTAGTTAGTAAGATCTAGAAGATTATAAGGCGATAAGCAAGAGTTAACAATGATTTGTCAAGAACAAATCATGATAAACCAACCTAACAAGCCTAGTGGATGGAGAGGAAGCAGTAAATGTGACATATCTTCAGGGCCGGCTCCAGGGTTTTTCGCCCCCCCCCCCCCAAAAAGCCACGATCACGATCTGCGGCACTTCGGCGGGAGGGCCTTCACTTCAAGCAGGAGTGAGGACCCTCCTCCGAATTGCCGACGAATAGCTGGATGTGCCGCCCCGCTCCGGAGTGGCCGCCCCAAGCACCTGCTTGCTAAGCTGGTGCCTGGAGCCGGCCCTGCAAATCTTGACCTAAGTAAGCTTTTGATGCTATCACCCATGACCTTCTCATAAGCAAACTAGGGAAATATAGCCTAGGTGAACCTACTTTATGGTGGCTGTACAACTGTTTGGAAAACCGTAGTCAGAAAGTAGTTATCAATGGTTCACAGTCAAGCTGGAAGCGCATATTGAATGAGGTCCCACAGGGATCTGTCCTGGGCCCAATTTTATTCAATATCTTCATAAATGATTTGGGTAATGGAATAAAGAGTACACTTCTAAAGCTTGTGGACAATATTGAGCTGGGATAGATTGCAAGCTATTTGGAGGACAGATTTGTCTAATCTGTTCTTCAGGAGGGCTTTTTGGGCAGGGGTGGGGGTTTGTGTTTCTGTGTGATGGAGAAGAGTCATGTTGATTGCATTAGTTCACATTTAGTGCTGTTGGGTCTGATTCTGATCTCAGTGACACCAGGATAACTCAGAAATAACTCCAGCAGTAAATGCAGAGTTACTCCAGATTTACAGGAGCACAGTTGAGAACAGCATCCAGCCTGTTGTGTCTATTGCAAGTACACCCAAAGATTAAGCAGTAGATTCACAAATGGCTAAATAAATAGGAAAAAAAACAAAACAAAAAACACCAATCAACCAACCAACCAAAAACCCTTCAGACATTGGCTTCCCGAAAAGGTTTATGAAACTTTCAAGGAACCTAGCTCAACTTTCCTATTCATGATGCAAGTTTGCACTTGCAATGAATTCCTCTTAAAACAATTTAAAAGCTTGCCAATAAAAGTTGTCAACGTATTTAAACTCAGTCAAGTAATTAGTGTTGATCCCCTAGAGCAGGGGTCAGCAACGTTTGGCACACGGCTCGCCAGGGTAAGCACCCTAGTGGGCCAGGCCAGTTTATTTACCTGCTGACGCGGCAGGTTCGGCCGATCGCGGCCTCCACTGGCTGCGGTTCGCCATCCCAGGCCAATGGGGGCGGCGGGAAGCCACGGCCAGCACATCCCTTGCCCACACCGCTTCCCGCCGCCCCCATTGGCCCGGGATGGCGAACCGTGGCCAGTAGGGGCCACGATTGGTCGAACCTGCCACGTCAGCAGGTAAATAAACTGGCCTGGCCCGCTAGGGTGCTTGCCCTGGCGAGCCGCGTGCCAAATGTTGCCGACCCCTGCCCTAGAGGGTCACAACAGTTGTTTTACCATCAAAGAATCGCAATCCCTTTACTTCAAAATTTTGCTGGCATTTTCCCATGAAGCTGGGATGAGGGAAACTTGTTTCTTCTGGGGTCTCACCAGTGGCAAAAAGATGTTTTACACACTGCTCTTGTGCTAGGGTGAACTCAATGGTTATTTTCCCATAGGTCAGGAGAAGACAGCAGTTCAGTTTCCCCTCCACTGTGCCATTCTACCCATTTGCAACCCAACTCAGATAAATCTTGTCTCGCCCTTGTTTATTTAATTCACAGAGTCAGCTACAACCTAGGATTGGTCGTAACATGCAGTCCTGTTAGGGGTGCCCATTTTGGTTGGATGTTGTCAAGGCTGTATCCCCACTTTGAACTTTAGGGTACAAATGTGGGGGCCTGCATGAAAACTTCTAAGCTTAACTACCAGCTTAGTTTTGGTCCGCTGCCACCATTTCCAAATGGATTCCTTTCCCTGGGAAGCCTTGAGAAACCTTTCACCAATTCCCTGGTGAATACAGATCCAAACCCCTTGGATCTTAAAACAAGGAGAAATTAACCATCCCCCACTTCTTTCTCCCACCAATTCCTCGTGAATACAGATCCAACCCCCTTGGATCTAAAACAAGGAAAAAAATCAATCAGGTTTTTAAAAAGAAGGTTTTTAATTAAAGAAAAAGGTAAAAATCCTCTCTGTAAAATCAGTATGGAAAATAACTTTACAGGGTAATCAAACTTAAAGAGCTCAGAGGACCTCCCTCTAGCCTCAGGTTCAAAGTATAGCAAACAAAGATAAACACTCTAGTAAAAGGTACATTTACAAGTTGAGAAAACAAAGTAAAACTAAGACGCCTTGCCTGGCTATTTACTTACAAGTTTGAAATAGGAGAGACTTGTTTAGAAAGATAGGGGAGAACCTGGATT